GACAGCGGCCCGATTCGTGTCAAAGCTCAAGAGGCGGAGAGCGCAGCGTTGCTCGTTGGGGAAAAGGCATCGCCACAGCAGCCGTTCGATCCGAAGGCCATTCCGGAAGCGTTTCGGGAGTTCGCAGCCTTGTTTGATCCAGCGGCAGCGGACAAATACCCTCCCAAACGCGGTCCGCTGGACGTGAAGCTGCGGTTCGCGAGCGGTGACGTCGAGACGCCATATCGGCGCACCAAGTACAACGAGGAGGAGCGAGCGGCACTCGATGAGATCATTGACAATGGTCTTCGCACGGGTAAAATAGTGCCGGCGCCTGGAGCAACGAACCCATCGTCGGTGCTGTTTGTGAAAGAAGAACCGGAGAAGAAAATCATCAACCGGGTGGTATTCGATCTCCGGGGCCCCAACGCGAAGATTCTGTCTGAGGTCCACGATCTGCCAACAGTTGAGGATATCATGGAATCGATGGCGGGCATGACGATCTTTTGCAAGCTCGACGTTTCTAAAGCCTTTAACTGTATTCGGCTTGCAGACGAGGACTCCATTAACGCGACGGCGTTCAGGACGCACCGTGGCGTGTTCAAGTGGACGGTGCTACCCTTCGGCATCAAAGTCGGAAGCGTGGCCATGCAGCGTTTGATGGATGCCATGCTGCGTGGGCTCAAGGGCGTCGCGGCGTATCAGGACGACATCATCGTGGGTGGCAAGAACAAGGAGGAACTGATCGAGAACACCCGCGCGGTGCTGCGTAGGGTGCGCGAGTTCCAGCTGCCACTCAAGCTGAGCAAGTGCGAGTTCTTTGCAACGGCAGTGCCTCTGCTTGGCTTTGTGCTGAGCGCTCAAGGCATTTCGACGACGAAGTCGGCTGTGCAGGCCATGCTGGATTTCCCCGTCCCCAAGACGAGGAAGCAGGTGCGCTCGTTCATTGGCGCGGTGGGGCACATCAGCGGCTGGATCAAAGGATTTGCTGACATGCGGGCGCCGCTGGACCAGTTGCTCAAGAAGGACGTCAAGTTTGTCTGGACGGAGGAGTGCCAGCAAGCTTTCTCACGGATCAAGAAGGTCGTGACGTCCACCCCGGTGCTGCGGCTGCCGCGGCGTGATGAAGTATTTGTGTGCGAGGCTGATGCGAGTGACATTGGCACGGGCGCGGTGCTCTACAACATGAAGCCTGGTGGCAATCCGTCGGACATGAAAGGTCTCAAACTGGTGGGGTACTACTCGAAGCGTCTGTCAAGCGCGGAGCGGAACTACAGCACGACGGATAAGGAGCTGTTGGCGATTGTGCGGGCAGTGCGTCGTTGGAGACATCTGCTGACGGGATCCAGGCACAAGGTGATTTTCAAGTCGGATCACAAGAACTTGGTGAACTACCAGAACTTGGAGGTCAGGAACTACCGGATGGCGCGATGGATCGAGGAGCTCAGCCAGTGCGATTTCAAGATTGTGTTCACGGCTGGTGTGTCGCAGCCTCTGGCAGACTGCCTGTCACGCAACCCAAACTTTGAGGGCAGTGTGCGAGGCGAAGCCGCTCGCAAGGCGTTCACGCCGGGTCAGCTGGACAGCACGGTCGCGGCCGCAGCCACAGTGGCGAGCACGTCGGCTGGAGCAGGTCAAAGCGCAGCGAAGGCGGTGGCGGCGGAGGTGTCGATCGAGGATCAGATCCGCGCACAAGTTGGCACCAGCCCCCCTGACCAGAAGTTGCAGAAGCTGCTCGGACTCACGCTGGCTGATGGCCTTTGGAGAGATGGGAGCAAGCGCATCTACGTCCCGGAAGGTGACTGTCGTCGACTGGTTGTGGCCGAGTGCCACGATGCCAAGGGGGCGGGTCATGGTGGCAAGCACCGCACGAATTTGCGTGTCAAGCAAACGCATGTTTGGCACAACATGATGGAGTACATCGAAAAGTACGTGGCTGGTTGCACTCTCTGCCAGCAGAACAAGCCATCGCATCTCAAACAAGCTGGCCTGAGCGCATCGATCGAAGTGCCCGCTGGCGTGTGGCAGGATGTGGCTATTGACTTGGTCACGGATCTGGTGCCGTCGAAGGATTACCGTGGGCACAAGCACGACGCGGTGCTTGCTTTCAAAGCAGGTGCATCTCATCCCGTTTTCCAAGGACAGCAGTAGTGCGATGGTGGCGAGAGCGCTCATGGATCGCGTGTTTGCGTACCATGGGCTGCCCAACACGCTGCTGCACGATCGTGATTCACGGTTCCTAGCTGAGCACATGACTAGCGTCTGCAAGGGGCTTGGCATTAGGCAGCGGGCGTCAACGTCGTTTCACCCGAACACGAACGGGTCTCTTGA